GTCAGCATCATCAGACGCACGCTTCTTCTTGCATCTACCGCCAGCCATGTCCCCCATCAGATTGTACTGTAAATTATCACATGAATTAACATGTAAATGAGTGAATACTTCTGTGATGTGCTCTCTTCAGGTGAAAATGCTCCTCACTCAGGTCTTCCTCCTTTTGTTAAATTAACAATTAATCACTGGAAAAAAAATGATCAAAGTCATATTTTTTTACAGTTGTGGCGCGAACTTTGGGGCGCAGTCTCGCACTGTATATACATTGACCTTGGTTTTCACCTTCCACATATTTCGCTCAATCCAAGAAGGTACATCTGCCTCCCATACCAAACGATCCCTTTAAATGAGGCCAAATTCTAAACTTGGAAGTTGGGACAGCATAAATCCAGGGCTGTTGGACTTCATTCTTACGTTGCAGACTGAAGCCATTCATATCTATTCCGATGACACCTCTGTAAACAGTGGATTCCTTTTCATTTGTTTTGGAGTGACAAGGGCTCCATTTGGTAGGAAATTACTGTACCTCTTCATTCATGCAGGAGACAAACACTCAGAGGCCACAAAATTCTTGGTGCATGTGGCACAATCTCATAATATAGGACCGGGCTGGTGTAGTTTGCATTCGCGTGTTGGTTACGTTCACATTTAACCGCTTTGAAATGTGTTGTGTTGTCGAAAGTGACCAAAACAAAATCATGGTGTTGTGAGAATGTTCAAGTTTACTCCCAAATAAAATCAAAATACAGATGACATCAGTGCCCACCTGTCTTGTTGGACCAAAAGGCAAAGAACCTACGGCTCATTTGTGTCACCGATTAGCATGTTATCTTCCACCTCAAAGGGCGTTTGAGTATTTTCAAGAGCGTACATGCAGTGGGTGGCCGGGCTTAGCAAAGTAGATGAGCGAGTGTCGGGCCTCAGCAGGGCAAAAATGACTCCCAATCACTCACAAGTGGCTATTAGTTCAGGGCGGTGCTTTCTTTCCTTCACTTGAACGGCTTCGTTTTCCATTCTTGTCAAGTGGAATGAAGATAATGTGCTGAATGCTGCACAGCATCATGTTTCTGATTGGGTTTAGTTGGGCAAGGCAGAAATCTGCTCGCATGATTGCTATTTTCATGTTGTCCTTGACAGACTGGCTGTGTTTTGCGGTGACAACCACTGGCACAACCCAGCGGGAAGGAATTGAAACATTTTTTTTTTTCCCGTCGCTGCGAGTTTTAGAGACTCACAGTGTCATGAATGTTTCTAATGCTCCAGGCCATGATCCAGATAAAAGAAAATATTGTAATGAGAGGAGAATCGAAATGCTGAATAAACACAATTTTGCTGAATATCAGTCAAATTGAATTCACTGTTGTTTCTCGAGACACATGCTAATTTTTTGGTGAAATCTTAAGTGATTCTTAAAATGTGAAAGATCCAACACATTGCTGAGAAAGAATTGGCAAGTATGTGCTTACTGCTCTCATGGTGTGTGGTGTACTTGAGCGAACCAACACAGCACCCCACGCACATAACAATATGCCCATCGACAATCGCAAGTCTCCTCCTCCAAACCAGATGTCTTTTATAGCGCCAAGACTGACCTGTGAGAGGCCGCATAGTGGCATACAGTCTCCTGGAAAAAAAGCAAAGAAGAAATAGTAGTTGTTCGAAAGGTTCCAAGTCTTGTTTGTCGTTATATATTTGGTGCTTCTATATTAAACAGTAGAGTTAAGTCATCATATTTGCCTCATACGTGTGCAATGCATTTTGGGTAACGTTTCACACTACTACTAGTCTGCCATTATAGGAGGTGTTCAGTGCTGCAGTCATCGTGTGCGTCTCTGAACCACAGTGAAAGCATTAAATTGTGATTTATTTTAGTCTATACTGTGTGCATTACCATTTCTGTGACTTGTTTAACTTTGTCACTGATTTGATATCACCCGGCGCATCTTTTTGAAGGTCGGCGCATATCTCATTGAGTGTCTAAAACCAGGCGAAATCAGTGTTAATCACACACGTAAGGATTTGCGATAAAAAAATCTTGAACAGGTTTATGATTTAGGATTGTTCAGGCAGGGGAAACTCTGAACAACCCCCACACCATAAAATAATTGCTCAGGATGATCTTTCAAAGATATAAAATAATTGAATTGGCCATTTGCTGACCTTGATAGAAAGAGTAGAAAAAAAATCTCGGTTTAGGCATGATTATCGGTGTACCGGTCGGCCTCGGCGTCGTTCACTAGAGGTTTTAGTTTTGCCTCCAAAATTGGAGGGTCACTGTACTGCGGTTCCAATGACAAAATTAAGTTCACATAAAGTATAAAAATAAATGCAGAAGTGCCAATTTTGTTGCACCTACCTTTTGAAGTTTTAATGTTAGAAGCTGTCGCTCGAGTGAAGTGAAAATAAAAAAGAATAGTCACCAATGCACTTTTAGCCGTTTATTGAATGGAACAAACAGACACACAAATACAAAATGAAAACACTTGCAAGGAGCTTGGAGTACAGTAGATACTAAGACTGAACTTACTGGTCACTGCAATGCCTGATGTCACTCAGTAGGCCACGCCCCCGTAAAAAGCACACATACAAATGTACTTCAGAATGTGTGTGTGTGTGTGTGTGTGTGTGTGTGTGTGTGTGTGCGTGTATGTGTTTTGGCTTAAATACACATGATAAAACCAGTTTATTTCTTTATATCCGGTTTATTTCTTTACATTCTCTTCTTATAATGCTATTTTTTTGTAAGAAATTGCATGCAAAGAGTTATTGCAACAACCTTTTGGTACACGCCGATGTCTATGAAATGAAAACTTTCTGTCATATTAACACTACTTAATGTCGGTTTAAAATAAAAACGTCAGATGCAATACTTTGTGTATTTTTGAAGGCACTGATTTAGGCGAGTGAGAAGCAAGCGAGTAAGGGTGTGCTCGATTTGTTTACCCTCTTGTCCAATAAGGGATCAGTGCTACTTCATGTGTTCGCTGGAACTATATTTCATGTGCACGAAGTAATAGTTCATGCACACAATGGAGTAATTGGTGTGCACGAAATAGTAATGGGTGTGCACAATTTAGTAGTTTGTGCACACAAAATATATTTTTTTCAAATGTCATGTCTGGGGCTCCATATTTTACAATTCTCCAAATGACTTCCTAGTTGAAGTTGCAGTGATCAAATGTAAAAAGTAAATAAATAAATAAATAAATAAATAAAGAAAGAAAGAAAGAAAGAAAGAAAGAAAGAAAGAAAGAAAGAAAGAAAG